ATCTAATATACAAATTTGTTGCTATTGCTTAACATTGTAAAATGTATTCAGGACATATATATTAGGATAATATAGGGTGGAATTAGAAGTAAACCGAGCTAGTCTAGCTTTTTGTTTGATAATATTTGTATATAAGTTTGTAATGAAGTTGCAAAAACATTTTGATAGATAAGTACTTTGTATTTAATATGCTATGCATGTAAGAATTATATTATTGATAATGTAAATAGCCTGTTTGTTAGTTATTTTAGCAAATTTAATTTTGTTTAAATTTGAGGTAATGTTTTTGATAAGAAATTTTTTTGTAAGTTGAAAAGATGAATCTCGAATAAGCCATGCTCCTAGATATCTAAATATTGCTTTTTGTTAGATATTTGATATATTCTTTTTCTAAAATATTATATTAGCATTAGAATCTGAATCAGAGTTACTAGTGTTAATTTGTAAGAATTACTTTGATATTGGCATAAGAAAGAAAGAAGTTGACTGTTTTTAGTATATTTTGTAACTCTTGTTTATCTTTGGTTATCTATATTGTATTATCTATATATACTACTATAGAAGTATATATTGATATAGTAGAAGAATGTGTATGAGTTTTAAGTTAATAATCTTGATATATTGTATCAATTCAGTTAATAAGTAGATCATAGTAGATTCTTCATAGAATTAGAGAAAAAGTCTTTTTCTAATTAATTTTATCTTGTACAGTATATGGTTATATTAGTTCAATGCTTGTAATAACAAAATTTTGTCTGTTGTTAAAAAAATGATTTAATAAGTTTATAATCAAAGAAGGAATATGGATTTATTGAAGTGTCTTGATTAGTAGAGGGATGTATACTGTATCATAGGCTTTGAATATATCTTGTGTTAAGATCCAGTATTTGTTTTTTGTTATATTAGCATGTTCTATTATATAAGAAATAGTTTGAATAGATTGAATAATAGAAGTGAATAGAAGTGCTACATTGTTATTTGGATTTAGAATTGAATATTGGGTAAGGATTTTATTTAGTCAGTAGGTAATTATTTTGGTAAAAATTTTTCGGATATATTTAATTAATATGATTGGTTGAGTATATAAAAAATTATTATTATAGTGCTATTTTTTTAAAATAGCTTAAATGTTTGCATGTCTTCAACTACTTGGTGTTTTTTTAATTGTTAAACATGCATTAAAGCTCTTGAAAAGAATTTGTTTTGCTGATATTGGAAGGTGTTGAATCATTTTATTAGATATTTCTAAAAGACTAGTGGCTTTGTGTAATAGTGATAATGTTATAGTTTCTGTTAATTCGAAGATTAATATTAGTTGTAACAAGTCATTATATATATTGGAGTTAATATTCAGTAAAAGTTGAAGAAACTGTGTCCATTCATGTTCAAAATTAGGGTTTGTTGGGTTGTGTTTGGTCCAGTTGTTAAAGTGCTCTTTTGTTGCTTGTTTTATTTTTCTGAATTATTAATTATTTTATTAGATGTTATAATTTTGTTGAAAGAGATTTGGTTCTAATTGTGTTTAAGTATACTGTTTATCATGCATGATGTGTTTGATTCTATGTTATTATATCTTTATTGTATGTAGAAATTTATTTTTTCTTTTTGTGCATTTTGGATTTCTAGACTGCAGCTTTCTATAAGATTTTTTTAAGCTACTTCATAGTTTGTTAAAAATTATTGGAGTTTGAAGTAAGATCCTGGATTTGACATAAAGGAATAGATTGTTCTAAGTATGATAATATTTGTTGAAATAAATTATTTAGCTCTTGTAGACTGAATTTAAGTTAAAGGTTTAATATTTCTCAAGATAAAAAGACATTTGTTTGTTAGCTTAAGTGCTAAATGTAATTTAGTTGCTTTTAGAGAAAAGGCATAGTGTTTTTTAGGCACTGTATATGTTTTTGGTATCATTTGATTTGCAATTTTCTTGATTGAATTTGATTATTTGTTTCAGAAGTTGTTTAATTGTTGTAATATTATAATATTGTAAATCAGATTTATTAACTTGATTTTAGTTTCTAGTTTGTTAATGAAGTCTTCTTATATGTTTGTTGTCATTTGGTAATAAAGGTATATCTTTTTTTTCTTTTTTTTGGATCTAGATATTTTTAGTTGAAAGTTTGTCTTCCAAGTGGTAATAATTATTTTATAATCATTATCAGTAATATTAACTGAATCAGTATTTGAGGGTGGGGTAAAATCTAAAAGGATTTTAGAATTAACCTAGATGTCATTGATTTGACTTTGATTTGAGTCTTTTTGCCATGTAGGTTCTGTTATAGTATAGAATTCTAGTAAGCTTGTAAATAATAAGGATTGGAGTAATGAGAATAGATTTGCTGATCGCTTATGTCTGTTGGAGTTGTTATTAAAATCTTTCATTATAATAGTATGCCAGTTATTGCTTCTTGCTTGAGTTAACCAATTTATAATTATGTTTTGAGTAGATTTGAGTTGTTTTGGATAGTTTAAAGATAAGTATAATAAAATTATATAAAGTTTATTGTTGGCAAAAAGGTAAAAATTAATGCATATTGCAATGCCTAAAACAGTTTGTATGTTAAATATAAAAGGTTGAAGTAAGTTATGAAGCATGATCGCAGTACCTATGCTGGCTTCATGTTGAGAGCTGTTCTTAGGTATGAAGTTTGATGTGTAGATTTTGTAAAGTGGATTAGAGAGTTCTGCAAACAAAGAATTTTTTAGTTTTGTTTCTGTAATAGAAACAATGTAGTAATTATTTTTAGTACAGAATTCAAGCCATATTTGTAACTTTAGTGGGTCATTGAGTCCTTAAGTATTATGAGTAACAAAGTTAAGATTATTCTTAATGTTTATAGTGAAATTGTTTGTAGAAGTATCTGGTAATTTAGTTGAGTTATTGTTGTCTATTTGGGAGGATAATAAATCCAATTTTAATTGTGTAATGCTCATAGTTAAGGGAAGTAGTTATCAAAAATATCCTAGTAAAGATCAGGTAGGTTGGGAAGTTCAAAGAGTTGTGAGTTAAATCTTAAAAAGAAAAGTGATTATGGAGTTGTGAAATAATGTCTGCTATCTGTTTATGTATTGTTATTGGTAGTTGAATAGTTTGAAATTGATCTAATTCTCTCAAGACTGTTTGGATTTTATCAAGACTTGAAGGAAGATTTGGTTTAGTATTTTCTTTTCTTGTAATATTATTGATTAAGATCCATTCTGTAGGTAGTTGGTAAAAGAAGTAGTGTATACAGAGTTGTCTAACAGTTTCTACTAAAATTTTAAAGCTTGTAATAGAGAGTATTAGATTAAGCTCAGTAATCAAAATAGGATCTATAAATAGTTGAGATTTGTTTGTAAGGTTAACAGTTATATATTTTAGTGATAGTAAGATGTTAAATTTGTATATATCTTGTATTTTTGCTAAGAATTCTTTTGTTAGATGATAATTAGTTATAGGAAAATTATAAGTAATAGAGGTCTTGATTTGATTTGGTTCTTTTGGAAATGGTTTTTTTTAGATGAAGTAGTTATTTAGAATTTTGTGAAAACTATAATGCTCTTAGAAAATGTTTACATAACATTTGAAATTAGTTGAATCTTTAGGGTTGCAAGAAAAGAGGTATCTTACAGCTGAATTAAGATTTTGAGATATTGATAGTAAGGGTTTTCAAGTAAGTGGTAGATTAAAATAATTAAATAGTATATGATCAAAGTCATAATATTTGCACAGTTTTTGTTTATATTCTGCTAAATATGGTAATTCAGATCAGTTTGTTATTGAAAACATTGCATGTGTTTCTGCATTTAAATCAGTTGATTGTCAGGAAGAGGAATAATAAAATTAGCAAAGTAGCTGTTGTTGAGTTGATCAAAAGTGTAAATTCCATAAAATGCTAGCACAGTTGCTCAAGTAAATTTTCGATCTTTAATTGGAAGTGAAAAAGTAAGTATTTCTTTTATATTTTGGTTAATTAAGTCTGAAGAAGTTGGTAGTAGAATAAGAAGTTGAAAGTATGCTTCATTAAGAAGTTTGTGTGTTTCTTCAAAGATAAGTGCATAAGGAATTTGTGCAAAGTTGAGGCAGTAAAATATGTGTCTTGTACATTTATAGAGACTTGTTGTAAGAAAATCTAGGTTTCTAATATAATTTAAAGCAAGTTTGATTTTGAGTTTTTTGTAGATTTGATCTCTATTAACTTTGTTGATCAAAATAGCATTGTGTAATTTTTTGTATTTTTTGAAAGCAATTTGATATAGTGAGTTGAATTTTTTTTGATGTTGTGAAGCTGTAGCTTTTGTTCTTGTAAAGGAATGAAAGAATAATATATCTAGATAATTGAATTTTTGGTTAATAGCATATGAGATATTATGATTTAGAAGAATAGTTTGAATTTTGTGAGTAAAGACTTCCAAAAGTTGTTGTCTGTTATTAAGAACTTCAATCATTTTATTATTGTTCTAAGTTTGAAGATCAAAGTTAAGTACTTGTTTTGCAGCAAGAGTTTTAGTTATGAAATTACACCAATCGAAAGTTGTGTTGTTTTTTGTTTTTAATAAGTTGAATGTTAGTGCTTTGCTGTATGATTGCTTAATAACTAGTTGATAATCTTTAGAAGTATTAGAGATGGTGTTCATGTTGTCAGTATTATAATTAACATAGAGGTTGATTGAGTTGGTAGAGTTTCTGTAAATGTAATTGGTTCAGGATTTTATAGGTTGATTTCTGAAATGAAACTATTAGATACAGATGCTAAATATGATAGATCGAGTAATGTAATAATAAAGTTTTGGGATGTGGAGATATTCACTGATTTGTACATATTTGTTTTAGTAACTGTAGTATGTAATGTCATTTAAGATTTTGTAAAAAGTAAACTAGGTTGCCCACTTTTTGTTAAATTTTTTCGATAAAAATAGGGTGTAAAGAAAACAGAAGAGTTAAAGTTGTTAGTTTTATTTTTTTTTAAAAAAGTAAAGTTTGTTTCTAGTTCTGCTATGTAATATAAGTTGGCTACTTTAGAAGTCCAATCTAATGCCTTATATTTACTATCCAACAATTTTTGGAGATTTCTTTGCCTTGCATACTCCATAACCATTATATAATTACTATCTTTGGGGTTTTTAGTTATTCTATCGCAATTGCCAGAATGCTCCTATGTTCATGTTGATTTTCAATCTAAAATATTAATTAAGACAGATAAGATTACTACACTTTAATAATAAATTATAATACTTTTAAAAATTTTCAGTTTATATCTTTAGAATTATCAAGGCTTTTTAAACAAACACTTACAATATTTGCGACTTTCTCTCCCATTTATTCTCCTCTTGATCAAGTTCTATAATGTATCCATTAATCCATACTGCCTTAAAAACTATGTCAAAGCCTCTTTTAACAAGATGTCTTATATTTGCAAATTTACTAAAGGGTATCAATTCAATAATGTCTTTAAAATTCTTCGCATTAGGTTGTATTTGTCGAATTAATTGATTAATGTCATGATTGTTACTTGTTAACCCTCCTCTAATCTTTGTCAACATGCAGTAGATTATTTCTACTAAAGTTTATAATTAGCATTAGGCATCTCATTTATTGGTTGCAATCTTACTCACCACATTTTCTTTTAGACTAGAACAGAAATAATTTTATAAGATCTGATCTTATTTATCTGATCTGATCATTCTAATTGAACTGCTCAATATGATCGATCTGATCATGCTTCTTAGATCTTTTTTATCTTATTCAGATTGTATTTATAAAATTCAAAATTAAGCTAACTTTTGATTCCATAATTCGATGTATGTATTGGTATGCATTGCTATGAAACTTTATTTTGAACTTTCATACTAAAAATAGTAAATTTTATATTCATCGCTCATTTTTTCTTATTAGTTAAACCTTATAATATTTTCTTTTTATAGAGCACATCTTGAATGTATGCCGGTTATTATCGAGTAATTAGCTATAGTAATTAGCACTATTTAAATTCTATCAGATAGACCTCTGTTTATTTATTGTACATATGTATGTTCATAAAATCTCTTTAAATAAAATTTTCATCTTGTATTTCATCAATTTTTCTGTGCATTATCGCAACCACGGAGCCTAATTACAATATAAGGTCCTTGTACTGTTATCGTAATTGCAGAGCTAATTGCCAAAAATGAATCATAGCCTAACCACAATATGAGATTCTTGCATTGCTATTTACATTTATGGAGCCTAATTACAACATAGTTTCTTGTACTGCTATCATAGCTAAGGTGTTTAATCATCAAACATGAGGCTCTTGCACTGCTTGCGACAGCCATAGACCCTGGTCACAACATGAGGCTCTTGTACTGCCTGTAACAGCATAGATTTTGATTACAACATGAGACCCTTGTACTGCCTGTGATAGCTATAGACCCTGATCACAACATGAGGTCCTTGTAGCCACAGAGCCTAATTATAACATAAGTCCTTGTACTGCTATTATATCTCTGGATCTATAATAAAAAAAGTCAAAATTCTATTCAGATTTTGTTCAGATTATTATTTTAAAAAATGTGCATTTTTCATAATAAAAATCCAAACAAAATCTTAAAAAATTTTGACTTTTTTTATGGAAAGGCTCAATTGCCAAACATGATGTTCTTGCATTGTCTACAGCAGACATAGGGCCTAATCACAACATGATGTTCTTAGATTGCTATTGCAACTATGAAGCCTAATCATAACATGAGATTCTTGTACTGCATACTACAATATAGGTATAGTACACTTATCTCTAACTCTTTTTAAGCAACCTAAGTGCCTAGTTCACTTATGAAATTCTTTTTCAAATCTTAATAAAATGTTGAAAAATAATAAATATAATTATAATTAAGGCTAAAATTTAATACTGTCTATTATGAGTTAATGTGTAATTAATTATTGCATTAGAATTATCAATATTTTAATTTTATGCAAAAAATTCCATCATAGCACTTACTCGCTATAGTTTAAGTAGTTAAAATTCAAATAAGTTAACTAAGTAAGTTATCATCAGTTCTCAAGTTACATCAAGAAAGCTACATGAATAAGAATTAAAGAGTTTCTGATATATTTTGCTCAATAACTCAAAGAAAAAAAATTAGGCTGTTCGCAAATAGTTCTTTATATAACTTTCTAGTAATTGAGATTGCTCAATTAATTATCTAATAAAGTTTGTAATCATTTGTTATACAGATTTGTTTAAATGATTATTAGTTATCACTATTTATTTTTAGCCAATTAGATCATCTTGTAAATTAAATAAAAAATCAAACAATTAATGCCTTAATAAATTATTAATGACTTTATTTTCTTTATACAGTATATAGTAGCTACTAAACTACTAATGAATATTTTATTTTCATTTGTTACTGTATAGTATCATCTATACGATATCAATTTTCAAACTACAAATAACAAATTGGTTTAAAAAAAAATTTGTAAACCCAAAAATTCTATTATATTCGTGGATGCTTAATTCATATTCTTTATATTCTGCTATTATGTAATAGTAAGAGAAAATCTCATATTACCAAAAATATATTTTTAGTAGAATTCTTATACCAAATTATGCTTCTTGCAAAGATTATATTACTTTATATTTTCCTATCATGCGATAAGTTGCTTCACGAATACTTAATGTGAATGCATCATTTGGATTAATTTCTAAAGATTTGTTTAAATTTATAAGTGATTCTTTTATATCTGCCCATTATGCGATAAATGTCTCCATAAGTTCTTAATGCAAATGCTAATATCTACTAACATTATCTATATATATGCAAAAAATATTTACAAAATTAAGTAAAAATTAAATATTTTTAATAGTGATAGTATTATTAATATACACTTCCATATAATTTGAATTCTTGTTGGCTTATTAAAAGAATTATCGTCATTATATGTATAATAAAGTCAACAATTTCATAATTCATAATTTCTTTAATTATACATGTTTTTTGATTTGGGTTGCCTCCATCTTTAAGTGTTTAACGGAAAAAAAAAGTTGATTGTTGATGATTTTTCTTTTCTACAGCAGAGCAGGAAAAGGAACCTAGTCCAAATTCTTGATGAATTTTCATAAACTTCGGAATATGATAGACAAATACATGAATATATAATGTAATGTCAGAGAGCTGATATAATCCTTCTTTTATAATATTATTTGGATTGTTATTATTGATAATATCAGGTTGAAGAAAATATGTTTCCTATTCTTTTGTTTTTAAAGCAAATTGTGAAGGATTAGTATTTGAGTTTTTTATAGTACAGTATAATTGATCGAATTTGTTTTACAATAGCTTAATTTTTTTTGTATGATCTATTGGCAAAATTGCTAACAATCAAACTTTCATAATACTTTAAGTTTGTTTTGACCAGAAAGTGAAGTGGACTGCCATCTAGATGAATTCAATCCTTCCAAAACTGAAATTTAACTTTGCACTTTTTCATTTCATTACAAATAGTATTACACATGTTATCATCAAATTCTCCATTTTGTTCTAATTCAGGAATTACTAAAGACTATAATCGATTGGTAATTCTAAGCATAATATGCAATTCATCAGGAACCCAGTAACTTAATGAAATCATTGGAAATAAAGGTGTTCTGATATGTTCAGAATAAGCCAAATGATTAGATGCTATTATATTTATATCTTTTTCAATTTTCCATAATCAGTTTTTTAAATTGCCAAGATCTGTTTTTTTGCATCAACACCAAGAACAGAAATTAATAGAATTTGCTGTGTTAATACCTAAACAAAGTGCTAAAAATTTCCAATCTGAGGAAAAATACAAATTAATATGTCAATTAATTCTATTTTTGTCAACAAAATCAGTATTATGTAATTCATTTAATTCGAAAACAAGTGGCTGTGTTGCATTTTTTAAAGATTCATAATTTTCAACTCCTGAATAAATAACAATCATAAAATGACTATCTGGTAATATAAAGTTTCTTTTTTATCTAAGATTGCAAAAGTAATTATCACATGTTTAATTTTTTTGCCGATATTATGCCCATCTCCAGAAATTCTCAAGTTAATAACAGGTTGTGAAGGATGAAGAATTCTAGTATTTACTAAATAAGGAATTATATATAAAAGTATATCTTTAATATTTCGTTATGCAGCTTTTCCAATTGATTGAAATACAGGCTTAGCTATATTCAAGCTAGTTGCAAACTTCTCCTTATCTAATAAAAAATCATCAGAAATATTAAACATGTAAATAGGTATACTACTTTCCATTTTTAATGTTAAAGCTATGCGTTGATTAGAAATTGTATAATAGCAAGGCAATTCTGATTAAATAGCTGCTAAAGCATGATAACCATTCTGTAGTATTTGATATTTGTCAATTGCCTGTACAATTGCTAATTTTTGCTCTTTTTTTTTTTTTATATTATTTTGTGATCCAAACTCTATTTGAAACAATTTATTTTCAATCGTATAAGATAATTTTGTAAAAGCTACATGATCTTTAGAGTGAAGATTCTCTTTAGCCACTTCATTAAAATTTTTTTTAACTTTTTTTACTATAGCTTTTATACAAGCTTTCTTAGTAGAAACACTTAAACTTTTAAAAGGTTTGCTACAAGGTGGTCAATTTTTTTGTACTTGTTTAAGATGAAGACCAAAAAGAAAAGGACCTGACATTTGACTTTCTTTTGATTGTTCTTTTAATTCATTTATAGCCTAATATTTAATATATAGTTTATTAATATAATTTATAAATTTTATATAACTTATATATTAATTACTAACCTTTAATACTTTCATTGCTGCATCACTAGGAGAATGATTTGATACTACTTCAAACTCAAAATTTGGTCCATAATTTATGTAATAAACTGGACTATTATCTATATATTCAATATGACCTTTAATAGTATATAAAGTTGTTGGTTTTCCTCACATTGTAATAATGCTATAGTTATTAGAAATAGCATAACTTTTTGGTGCTTTTGTATATTTAAAATTTAATACAGAAGGAAAAACAACCTTGTTACATATTGTATATTAAAAAGTAAAATTTTTTGTTTTAAACTCTATAGGATTATTATGATATTGTATATGAGTAGGTAAAAGTTTAGAAATTGACATTTTGATATTCGAAGGTATAACTCATCACTTTGATGTGTAAATTTATATATGTAATTTTTAATATTATTTATACATTGTAATCTAAATGTGTATAAATTGTGTAACTATTAATGATTCAATAAAAATTGATTTAAATGTTTTTACAAAAGTTTATCCACTAATGCATTTTTTTCTGATCCAATATCATTATTGTAAAGAATAAATTTACTTAGGTTCTTTATCTTATATTATATATAAAGTTCAACAGATATAAGTGTATGTCTTTTATCAGCTTTTTTTTTCTTCAGATCATGCAGTAGCAAAGCAAACTTTAAGCTAAAAGTTTGGTCTTCTGCTTCAAATTTTCTAAAAATTAGTCTTAAGTATAGACATCAGATTTTTTATTATTTTATATTTGTTGTTTAGGTTCTAGATGAGCTGGCATTTTATAAGCCACTAAGTTTGAAGTTCAGAAATTTTATTTATCTGCTTAATAGTTCAAAATCTGCAATTTTTGAAATGAATTTTTTCAAATAATAAAATATTAGAGTATTGGTGAATTAATATAAGATTAATAAAATAAATTAGACACTATACAATATCAAATTGGGTTGTTGCTCAATTCTCTGAAAGTTACTTTCTCTCTAACTCATTTTTCCGACACCATAATGCCGACATGCTATTTCATCTAAAGCACATTTATTCAATAAGATATATATTCATTATTATATTTTTTCAACAATCCTTTTCTTAGACAAGACATTTCCATGACAATCATTTTCTTGATATAAAATTAGCCTGATCTGGCCTGATTTAGAGCAAATATTAGTTAAAATTATATGTAAAAGAAATAATTGTTAGAGAAATGTCTTGTCTAAGAAAAAGATTGTTTATAATATGTAATGTCAAATATGTATCTTATCAAATAAATATGCTTTAGATAAAATAGCATGTCAGCATTATAGTATAGGGAAAATGAGTTGGTGGGAAAGTAACTTTCGAGAAATCATAATCATAAATTATAAGAACTTATTATTTAGTAGTAGGTTTAAAATAAATAATACCTTATCTATACTTTCATTAACTATAAGGCATTTATGTACAATTATTTAAAAGCCTCAACAAAACCTTTGAAATCAATCTTTGTAGAGACTGTAAATTTATTATTATATATTCATTGAAAATAGCCTCTTCAAGCCTTTTTGCTAGTGTTTTTGCTATAACTTAATGTTCTGCAATTAACAGTCTAAGTTTAGTATATGCTTATATATATATTTTATATATAACACAAATTAGATCAGTTAAGCATTAGTTTATTTAAATTTATATATGTATACATACTTGAAGTATTGCTCATTCATCAAAGAATTTTTTTAGTTATTAAGTTACCTATTACTTTAATAATTTTATATTGTACACAATTTATTTATACATTGTTAAATGATTGTATGACCCTTGTAAACACACCTCTTAATTTTGGGGTATAAACAAAATTGGCTGATATGTATAGTATTAAAAAGATGTATATTTCTGATGTTCTTAAGCAGCCTTCTAAGTAACTAAATGTTGATACAACAAATAAAGCTAAAACAAATTATATATATGACTATTGGCCAAAGTGGCTTAAATTAGATAAAGCTATGCATATCTGGACTAAAAATATACTTATAGCAAATATAAATCTAACTCAAATTGCCCTTATTACTAAAGCTAAGGTTTTTACTATAGCTTTAAACATTCCTGACTTTAAAAGTACCAGCTGGGTCAATAAATTTCAGAAGTAATTAGGTCTTTATTAGTATATTAGAAATAATAAGACTGCTAGTTCTCTACTTATAGAAACATTAAATCAATATAGAGAACATTTTCAGAAAATCTGTAAAGAATATACTCTAAAAAACATATAAAATGCAGATGAAATGTCTCTTTACTGGAAGATGCACCTTTCTAAAACTCTTGTACAAGGTCCTGTTTTAGATTATAAAAAAAAAAAGCATATTGTTGTCAGGTGAAACAGCGAGTTAGTCACTCCACAATCCAAATTCTCGCATAACCTATGGCAGCTAAGTCAAAATAGGCGTGTTAGATTTGGTCAGTGGTTTAGGTCTATAGGTAAGTATTCTTTCTTAACTTGTCTTTGGTTTTCCTAATCTTGAGCTATTACTAACTTAATCCTCAATTACTTCACTACTTCGGATAATTGGACACAACATATAACCTCACTATCCTCAGTCCTTCAGGATAATGGAACGATACAACTACAGCTGATCCTAGTACTTTAGGATACAACAGCCAGACAGGAACGTAATGATACTACGGAAGGGAATGATAATTGCAAGAATCAGGCTTTTATGGTATAGTTCAGAATTTATCGATTCTGTCTCTAAACTAATCCAACTTTTTGGCTGGTGGTTTATTCATAGGTAAGTGCTTGTCGTCTCTTATCTAAGTCTTTTCTTCAATCTATTCCTCTATTAACCTTTTCCTTCTCTTGTCTTCTCATGTCTTCTTTTGTATGCCTCAACCTGGGATTACACTTTGTCGAATTGGGGTTGGAACTTCTTCTATTACGGTAATGGCTTGATCACGTGACTTGTGGCAGATGATCAATGGTGATTTAATAGTATATAGATGAACAGTTATGTTAGGGGTAGGGTTAATGATAGTTTATTAGTTCGTGTAGGGTAATATGTTTATTAGGGGTTGGGTACTTAGTTGTATGCAAGTGGTATTTTTATTACAATTATAAGTGCTGATTTTGTTATTAGCAATGCGGGAAGTGGAGGAATTATTCTTTTCCAAGGCAAAAATGCCATTTATTTATAATAAATGTTTTGTTTACATTTACAATTAATTTCTCTCATAAACGCAATATATTTCTTATACGCTATACCCTACTTAAATCAAATAAAAAGCATATTCTTCATTTAACATATATACAGGCGAAGTAGCAGAAGCGACGTAAGTAATATAAGTGACATTTCTGTCACTTTTGTGTGACCTCAGATCGGGTTAGGATCATCACTTCAATACGGTCACCGTCCCCGTAACCCGTGCCCTGAAAATCGGGTTCACAATATGTAATATAATGTTAGCAGCAAATGCTACAGATACAAAGAAGCTTCCTTATATGTTTATTCATATCTTTGAAAATCTGCAATTTTTTTAAAATATTAACAAAAAAAGACTTCCTATTTGGTACTATTGAAATAAAACAGTCTGGATATAAGTTTCTATATATAATAATTAGTTAAACTATGTTAATGCAATAATGAGACTTCAAAACTGCTATATTCTTCTTTTTGTTGATTATTGTACTACTCATATTCAGCAAAGGGAGCTTAGCAATATTTAAATTGAAAAAATATTAAAAAATATTACTGCTCACCTTCAGCTATGCAATGCTGGTATTATATATTTGTTCAAATGCTACTATAAATGTATTTTCATGAAAAATCAGCTTGTAGCATTTGACAAAATGCAATAAAAGATTTTGAAATTAAAGATTTTAGCATTCTTAATGCTATTAATGCTACTTCTAAAGTATAGAACAATGTTACTTAGAAAACAATTATGAACTGATAGCTAAAAATAGATATTCTTCTACAATACCAAGTAGCTAAAAGGTGTTAGACATGTCAGCAGATAGAACAAAAGTTAAAAAGTGAGTCTGATAAACTTGGTGATTTAATAATTAATTTATTAATAAATAATGAAATCAATAATCCTATAGATGCAAATGAATTTATGAATATTGATGCTGATGTTACTTTTGAGATGCTGTCTGATGATAATATAATCTGTGCTATTAATAAGAATAATGATTACCTTCCTTAAGAAGAAACATTACTAGTACCTAAAGTCACAAACAATAAAGCTCTGAAAGCCCTTGATTTGGTTGAAACATATTTTTTGCAACAACCTAAGAATTTTGTTGTAACTCATAAGAATAAAAGTACTATTTATTGATTAAGAAGGAAGTTTTAAGATACATCTCTTTTCAAAAGAAGCAGGCTAACATTACAGAGTTCTTTTTTTAATAAGAATCAAAGTTTTTTTGATTTTTTTTTTTTTGCATTTTATGTTTTTTTTTTTTACTTTTTTTTTTTACTTATTTTTTTTATTTTATTTTTTTTTATATTTTATTTTTTTAACCTATATATCTTTTTTTTTGGCATGCAGATCTTCTTTGATTTATATGGTTTAATGAAGAATTTGGAGGTTTTAAGAAAATATAATAGAAATAGAAATTCAGCAATATATTTTTTTGTTGCTTTGTTATATTTTTATTTAATATATTAGTTAAACTTGTTTAACTAAAGTTTAATTCATGTGCCACTTTAATTTTGATTTTAATTGTTCAAAATGTGATTATAATAATTATATTTTATTAGATTGAAATTCTATAATGAAACTTCTCATAAGTGCATGCTTATGAGATTGGAGTGTATATATGTATTTAGAGAAATGCATAATAAAAAATTTAACTAGCAAACTGAAATAAAAAAATACAAGTGATTAACATATACCCTCTTTAGAACCAAAAGTAGAAGGTTCTTAAAGCCTAGCAGATTATGTATTATGCTATTTTTTTATTAAGATTAGAGTTAGGGTTACTTTGGGTTAGAATTAGAGATACTAATATAAGCAAAATTACCTTTTGACATTTTTTGTTAATGCATCAAGATGGGTTTTAACTATCATTTTTGATATTTTTCACTTTTCTCTCTTTTTTCACTTGTTTTGCTTTGATTTAGTTTATCAAATTTTAACAATCCGATTGGCTAATTATTATGTAATCTGCTTAGCTTTAAAAGACTTTCAAAAGTATGCATTTGGCACAGATATAAAATTTTGTATGCATTTATGAAGGATATATGCATATGCTTGGTTCTAGAACTTATGTATATACAGAGAATAATAATGTTTATTTAGCACTAAGTTTCAAGCAGACCAAGCTAAGTGTAAACTTAAAGATGTGCTTTTATAAATAGTGTACTTAGAATGCTATAATAAATGACTATGTGTATTTGATTTATTAATGTATTATACAATATCTTTATAATGAATTCTAGCTTAATTTAATTATATAAACTGTTATATAGATATAACAAACATGCTATATAATGAATTTTTTTGGCTAGCTTAGATTTCTGTTATATCGATAGTTGACAGTATTTAGTTTATTTGTTTATTCTTTTCAAAAGCTTTTTTGAAGCTTTAATCAGTTAAACTATATTATTAAAAGTTTATACTATTTTTTTATTTAGAAATTTTTAAGTAGGTTTTCAACTCTTTGACTTCTTAGTTTATTGCAACTAGTAGTTTTATTATAGAATTATACTAAAGTCTTATATGTTATTATTTTTTTAATATTTTTTTATATATAAGTAATATTATATTTATTCAAAATGATATAACATAAAGTTAAAGATATACTAATTTAACTAATTGTTAAAAAACAATATACAGTCTATTCTCATTTATATTAACCTATTTGGATTGGTTTTAAATTATGTTGATAGTGATATTAATAAGAAATTATATTAAAGTTAATATATATAAGAGAATTTTGATATATAAAAATTTATAAAAATTTGATTTGTGGCTTAAATTGATATTAATGAGGTTATATTAATAAGGATCAACTATACTATAATATAGATATAATTTTTAAATTTTATTATAAATAAGATTTGAATATTAAATTTGCTATTTAAAGTTAACAACTTATTGAAGTTTTTGCTTTAAAAATGATCTTATAAAACATAATAATTACTATATACTATAAGGTTATTTTCAAAGCAAAGATTTTTATTAATTAATCTAAGTTATTATACTTTTGTTAATAATCTATTTTAGTTTTGTTTTTTTTTAAATTAAAGTTCCTATTTTCAGAAAGTGATATTTTTATTTAAGTTTTGATAAAACACAGATGTTTTTAAACAGTATTATATATTTTTTACTGTCTAAAGCTTTTTTAATTATGTTTAATATTTAAATGTCCAAATGTTCAAAAATGTCTAAGACATGTTTAGGCTCTAATAATTAATAAATTTGTCTAAAAAATATAATTACATATTTTTTTAAGTTTTGAATATTTTTTATTAAAAAGTATATAGATTATTTTAACAAAATTATAAGTAATTTTAATTTATATTTTTGTTTAAAAATGTTCAAAAATATTAAATCTTATGACTAAAATTGTCTATTAACAATACTGTTTTTAGAAACTTCTTTGTATTAAAGATTATAACTAGCCACATATGCATTTTTGATATCTAATTTAAGTAATCTACCTATATATTACTATATAAGTTTTATATTAAATATTATACTTGCAAGCTAATTACAAGTTTTGCTTATTAAACCTTTTATATATGCAATTTTTTTGTATTATAGAAATATTTTTAGAATGCTATCTATCCAAGTTCCTAATACTTATTAGTACTCTTAGAACTACTTATTCTTAACAAAAAACTTATTAGAACCTGTTATATTTTATATATAGCTAATTTAGTTTTATATAATACTTTATAGTAGAGGCCTGCATTAGGTCCTACAGCTTAGCCTGGCCCAGTCTACAAATTTTTGCAGGCCAGGCCAGGCCTGAAGCAAAATTTTATAATTGTGGGCTAGGCTGGATCAAAAAATTTGTAAAACTTTATAATTGCAGACCAGTACAGACCTAAAAATTTGTAAAATTATATAAGAAATTTTTGCAAGCTAGGCTATACTAGATTAGGCTGAAGAAAAAATTTAATATACAGGTCAGACCAGACCAGCAAAAAAATATCAACTCTAAATATAGGCCAGGCCAAGCCAAAAACAAATTTTACCCCTAAATGTGAACCATACTGGGTCTCAAAAATAGGCAATTTGCAGGCCTTTAACATTTGCAGTTATAGTAATTATTTAAAGTGTTTTATATTAAAAAAACCTATTTTGTAGATTATTAAATTTTGAGTAAATCAAATTTAAATAATGATCTTTAAATAGAAATATATATATAATTTTTTATTTCAAGTTTATTTTATAAATCTTTTTATTATATAATTAGCTTTTGTTACTTATAATAAACTTTTTTATTAAAGATATATTTATTCAAAAATCAAATAAAAACAATTTTTGAAAAATTGTCAAAATAAGCCTTTTTAATATAAAACATCTTATCTGTTTAACTGTTATATTAACTATGCTATTCTTATAAAGTTTACTAGAACTTCAGTATTTATCTTTTAAATATTTTTTTATCTATTACTAACTACTATTTAAAATCAACAAACTTTGATCAAACTATTAGTTTAGATAATTGAATAAGATATATTTCTATTTTTTTTATCATAAATCTAGTAGTTAATTGGTTATATACTTATATATATATTTTTTGCATCTAGTTTATCTAATTTGTTTTTTTAGAAATAGTTTGTAAGCTTTAAACAATTTAATAATACTATTAAAAGTCTATACTATCTCTTTATTTAAGAATTTTTAAGTAGATTTTTGTTATTTAGTTTTTTAATTTTTTATGCTTAATAGTCTTATTATAGATTTGTACTAAAGTTTTATTTTTTTTTTAATGTTAAAGTTTCTATCTTCAGAATGTGATATTTTTATTTAAATATATAGAATATAAATTGCCTTTAGAGTAGGGTTCAGGGCATGGAAAAAAAATTGGGCATGCCTCTAAGCTAAGGCATGCCTTTGAGCTAAGGCATGCTCCTCATGCTTATGGGCATGTCCTTTTTAAATCATGTGATTAATACATAGTTTACAACTTCTTAAAAATCTTATATGTTGATTTAGTATCTACAGTTTTAGTTTATCTAAACTTATTAGTCAATTAAAATAACTTTAAACATTACATAACAAGGGCATGCCCATAGGCATGCTCTAGAGGCATGCACTTAGAAGCATGCTCTATGTCCTTATATCCTAAACTCTACTTTAGAGACTTCTTTATATTGGAGATTACAACTAGCTACATGTGCATTTTTGGTATTTAATTTAAATAGTTCACTTATTTATTGCTATATGAGTTCTATATCAGAAAAATTTTTAAGCAGATTTGTATTAATATATAGTATTTAATTGATATATATTGATTAAAAATAATCAATATATATTAATTATTTGCTATATATCAATATATATTACTATTAATATATAATAATTATAAACAATTATAATTATTATTAATTAGTAAAAACAATAACAGATATTAGATAATATTTTTGAAGATGAGAGGTTAGCCAAAATCTTAGATTACATATTCTATAATAATAACCAATCAAAATTAAGCAGTTTGATTGATCTTAGGTAAGAAGAAGAGGGTATGGTTTCTTAGTAAATAGATATTAAGTAATATATGTTATAGCCCTAATGATTTTTATAAAATTTATTAAATTTTTTTAAACTTATATAGTATATTTATTCAACTATATAATATTAAAATTTTAGCCAATTTGAATAATTCATTTTTGAGAAATCATTTATAAACAATAGTTGATTTTTTTTAAAAATTCAACTATCATTTATAAGTAATTTCTCAAGAACTAATTATTTAAATTAGCTAAAATTTTAATATTATATAGTTGAATATATATACTATATATAGTAAAAATTTAAGCCAATTTGGATAAGTAGTTATCAAGAAATATAAGTAAAAGTTTAAGAAAATTTAATAAATTTTTGTTATATATTATTAGAAATTACTAATAATAATACTTAGCAAAAGTGCTATATATCAATAGTAATCTAAGAATTACTAATAATATATATAGCATCTTTAAAAACTTTTTTAATATATACTAGATGCCATACCTGCAAGCCAACTAGAGGTCTTGCTTATTTAAATCTTCTGTATATGCAATTTATTTTGTATTATAAAAATATTTTCAAAGCTATATTTATTTAAGTTCTTAATGCTAATTAGTATTCTTAAAACTACTTTATTCTCAACAAAAAAC